CTTCATCTTATCTTTATCTGAAGTGCCTGCTTCAGTTTTTATATGTGTCTTTGTGTCAGAAACTGTTTGGTGTCATGCTTGAAAGTTTCGTTATTTGTGCTTCGATTGTCCCAATAAAAACTATGTCGATGGATCAACAATTTTTGCGAGTTTTGCATCCTGTCTAACCCCGAAGATCGGACAAGTAGCCATGAAGCCCATGGCGATGTTGCTAGAAGTTTGAAGCGCAGTGCCCTGTGATAACTCGCAGGTCCATGACACAAGCCATTGTCCGCCTCATAAAGACCATGGGAAAAAAAGCTATTAACTCAACTGCTTTGCGCTTTAAGAACACTGAACAAGTTCCCTTCATTACCAGCAATTAAGGACAATCACATGTCATGCCCCCTTGAGCGGGGTATTTGTGTATGTTTGCGCCAATTGACTTCTATCAGGCGAGTTTTTTCTTTCGTTTTTGGAGGGCACTTCAGAACGACACTGTCATTTTTCATTGTTATTCCCTGATCGTTTTAGATTGTGTACACACCATGATTGCAATTTTTGTCTTGTTCGTTAATGGTCTCGTGCCCTTTTGCTCTTTATATTTCGCAGCAAGCTGGCTTTACCGCGAGCGGTAGTATCGAGAGTCATCAGCCAGCTCGAGGGTCTATTTAGTGCACTGGCGCGGGCTCGGGTGAGCATGTGGCCCCATTCCCATCGGCTATTGCCTCCCGCTTCTCGTCGCCGGGGCCCTTCGGAGTCTAGGCCCCCGGAAAATGTGGCACTGTAGGGCCCCGGTTCTCGATAGGCCCGTGAGCCTATACTTGAACCAGCTGGTAGCTCTTTACAGCGCGGGGTCTGGGAGTTCGGCAATGGAGTTCTTGAAACTGGAAAGAAATTATCTCCAAACGATGACAGAGTAATGAATGCCAAATTGCATCAACGTAAAATCAAGAGTAGTGCAAACGTTGTTGTAAAAGTAATCAATAATTGAAAATGTATTTACCAGGATAAACTAAATAATTTTGCGAGATACTTCAAACGTTGAAAGTGACGTTTGTGTGAATGCTAAAATTCACGATACATACATTAGAATAAGTGACCCAGATGGTTTGGTTCTTTTGCTCTTCAACGAGTACTCTAAACTAAACTTATGGGAATGCATCTTTTTCTCTAGTAACGTCTTTATCGTCTTCTTCACGAATTCCTTTGCTTTCCAAGAAGTTAGATTGTAATGACAGAAACATGTCTTGCTTAGTGACGCAAGACCCTCTGCATATATGATAAATGCGCAGTGGATGATCATTGATAACCCACACGACCCCAATATTGAGCAGGATGTATACCATCACAACACATATCCGGCCTAACAGCTATCTTAAGGAGTGAGTCTAGTCCTTGGGCTACCCAGACTGGACATTAACCTTCATTCGAAACACTTTGCTCAAGGTACCAATCTAGCGCCCCCAGCCAACTGCCCACAAAACTTCTTTCGCGCATTATTCCGAATTGGACTTTGTTTTAAAATTGACCCAAAAGGGCTACCAACTGATTGTCTACCCACACAGAATGCCTTTGCTATAAACGTCTTTGCTCCATATTTCGCAAACTATAATGAGAGTAATGAACCGTGATGTTGCACAAAAAGCCCAGTACGCGTGGTCGTGTTGTATTCGCCGGAGGAAAAATACACGTGTGTGTAACGGCGGATATCAGGCGGGATTTTTATCTTTTGTAAATTGAATTCTCTTATCTCCCCGATTATAATCCCTGTTTTTATGGCCCAAAACTGACACTTTCCATTGGTTGATTAGCATTATAAATAGATAACGCTGATTCAGGGACGTATGCTGGGAATTAGCATGTGCACGTATGCCGTCAACTTCGGTCTTTCCCCTTATTTATAAAAAATCGCAGTTTTTTTTTTGGCTCTTTTTCCTTTTTTTTTTTGGAGAGTGAACTTGGGTTGATATTTTACCATTATTTAATAGTTTACTTCACTTAGTGGACTTAAAACTATTAGGTATTTTTATCTGATCGCAGCTGTGTCCTTATGTAAGCAAACGTTTTATCCTGGACGGACGGTGAAAGTTCTCTACCGGAAAGCAACAGCCGCACTTTTGCGATAAACAAAAAGTAAATTCACCATAAAATGCAAGTAGAAAAAGAAATAGTTACAGTAAATTTGGTAATAATTGCCCGAATCATATCTTAGTAGTTGACTTTGCTGATTACGGACAGTGGGAGGAAACATATTTTATGGTCGGACTGTGCGCCCTAGAAATCTTGTCCCACTTTTCTCCACTTGTCTTTATCGGCGAGCGCATATGCTAAGTTTTCGACTGAAAGAACTTCCCAGCAGGTTGTCATTGTCAATAGGGACGCAATTTGTGGCAAACATCACATTAATTCTTCTTCCATGCGTTTTGATTTTTGGGCCGTCGATTTTGGCATCTTATAAAAAGTGCATAAGTTACCTCGAAAACTCTCTAGCAGATTGCATAGTACGTATGTGTTTAACTCTAGGCGGTTTCATTTACCGAAGATCATTCGTGCGTGACGTCACATACCTCCCATAAGCCTCTTCGATCCTCCATCTTTAAGCTCGGCCTCATCACATGTATGCCTTATGTGATTCGAAGGAAAAGGTTTCTGTAAATGCACCGAAAGTCATAATTATTCGCAACGCGACATGGTAATATTTCTCCTCAAGTTGAGGATAATTATTACAGATGGGTGTATTCACTCAGGAGTAGGCTTTCAAAATAGTGGACTTGCGGCCAAGAAGTTTTAGCACCCACACCAAAACGATAGTGACAGTGACGTCGACAATGTTTCGACAAAATTGGTCAGGGATTTCTGTTTTGTTTGGTTTGGTTTTCTTTTCTTTCTTTTTGTCCAAAGGATGACAGTATAAATAATTAGGCTGGTTCCACAAACCTAAGTCATAGCCTGAACAACTCGTCCAACTTAGATACGACTTAGTCATACGTTAACAACTCTACGTCGCAGTCTGCATCTATTAATTTCTCCAGACAATACGTATTTTGTTTGTAATCCGGTAGCCCTCTATTCCACTTCCCCAATTATAGTTGAAGGCTCGATCAATGTACACAGAGTACTTGAGGTACACCTTCTAATTGCCTCATCGACATGCGACGGCGTGGTCCGTGTAGCGGGCCCGAGCCCGCGGGTTGGGCGAGCCGCGTGATGGATGCGACGCGATAGCACGGGACGGGCTTAATGACCCTCCAGCGCGCCGGGGTAAAATGTCCCATCGGTCAATAAGGGCCGGTGTGCGGTAGCCGAGTTATGGCGAGTCACGTCCTGTAGTGGAGTACTTTGCTCCTGCGTACTGGCTCGCCGTTGTTATTTCATTAGGACATCGGTCAAGGGAAGTATCACACGTGGATCTGATCTTCACAAAAAACACTGGACTAAAATGGCACTTGAAAGTACTGCAATTACTGTTAAAAAATTTAAAAAGTCCGAAATAAGTAAGGGTAGGATGGAAGAAGGAACCCTGAAATGCGTATTTCGCAGCTTTATCACTTTTGTAGGCGCTATTTTCATGTTTTTGGAATTATTTGCGCAACAAAAGCTGTAAATTGTGCGTTTTACCGTTTTTGGCAACCTTAACTTGCATGTGGACATTTAACAGGCAACTATATAAGCACCGTGTACTTTTACAATAAAGATGTAACTTTAGTTACTAAAAACGAAAATCCAGTAGGTTGAACGGTTTAGTTCAACTTTTTTTAATTAATTAACAAGCCTGTCTGTATAAATAATTACCTCCTGTGAAAATAACCTACATGATGATACCAAATGCTGTTACTGTACATTGGAACGTATTAAGCAACTCAAACCTTGAAGAAAAATTACTGTAACAATATTGCGTGTTTGAACAAGAGGGGCCGGTCGCCTGCGCCCAAATCGGCGGCGCTGAGCGGGCCGCCCTCCAATAATAGCCGGGAGGGTTCTGGCCTTCCCCCACCGTAGAGAGAGAGCATTCCTGTCCGGTGCTTCGGGGTTGTGGAGTTGGTGTCCGGACATCTGTAAAAATACACTGCAGCAAGCTGGAATAAACCAAAAAGTGTTTGCTTTGTGTGTGTTTTCGTTTCCGCACCCGTACTTTTTAGTTTATTTACATGTACACAATTCGCCTTTTTGTATTCCGGTTGTTATGCAACCGAACTTTAGTGTAACTTTTTGACGTTAGGCAACAATTGCTTGCACTGACAGCGAACATTCTCCTACCAACCTCATCGACCCGCCATCTTTGATGTTTAGCCTTTTACCACACGGGCATCGTTATCCGCGGTTATGGCTGTTCACTGTGATTTGCTAATGGCAAAAAAGCCTGTAGCCACATCATACCCGACTCGAAAACGGTAAAAAATCAAAGATGGCGGACAGCAAATAAAGGACTGTGGGAGTTGAAGTCGTGACTTAGAAAGCAGCATAGACTGCGCAATTTGATCTCTTCAGCACTCAAAAAGAGAGATTGAATCTGTTAAAATTCGTGGTGTAGTCACCGTTTTATGGCCTTTTAAAACCGACAGTATATACATTTTGTCACTTCCTTCCTATCGAAGAAATCAATATTGATCGAAAAGACATTCGAACCAGCGACCAGTGGAGCACGGCACCAATTTTTGACGGTCGAGCGCCGGTACGATACAACGATCGGCCGTGGTTCACGTCCCTTCATGTCCGTCATTCAACTGTAAACTGATTACGAGTGTAGCATGCAGACTGTGTCTGTGTGGTTTTGTCTTAAAGATTAACTTTTGCATTACCCATTAAACCAGCCTCCTGTTTGTGTTTTAGGAAAAGAGCATTCCGACCAGTTGTCTCATAACTACCAATTCCAATCACTCAATTTAATTCAGATCGCATCGTTGTTAGCACATGCTGTTTGGTTCGTACACGCAAGCAGTTTTCTTCCAGGGAAATCGGAAGGATTTCGTGCATGCAGTAATGTATTTTGTCGTTCTTTTTTTCTCTCATTTCTGCAGAGAATGACATGTGGACGCAGGACTTCGGAAGTAAGTACCTCAATGTAAAACGTGCTCCCACCCCCGCATTGTTACAAAACAGGCCCTGTGTTCCCGTGTTCAGTGCAGTCGCCTTTCTAGTTTCTATTCCATAGTCCATTAGTGAACACGGACTTGGGGTCGTTGTCATATCCTTTCATTGAGGTGATCAGCTGACTTGATTCCTTCTGTCAGTTTTAGTCTATAAATATTGATCTTTCCATATAACAAGTATCGACCTTGCAGTACTCAGAGCGCCAAAAAACATTATGAGCCAAGAATTTGTCATTTATGTATTTATGTATTTATCGATTAATCGTCTGCATATTTATCATCCACCAAATCACTGCGTTATTTCACGTTTCCCTGAATAGTTTATTCATGTATAAAATATTTTTCATAGCACAGAAAGTATGTCAACCCCGGAGATTTAGTCAACCCAAATATGAATTGTTTTATCAAGATAAATATATGATATTTGTTTTATGAAATAATTTATTTGTGTGTTAATTTATATTTTCACACTTTTCTGTCCCCACAAACTGGTGAATCGCCACACCTGAAAAAAGTTCCATATTTAAACTTCCAGATGTGTTATAAATTGTCAAATAAGCCCGTCGGTAATTGATTTATGTGTTCCATTATTCCTTAATTCCATACAGTCGGGAGGGAGTGCGTCAACTGTGGGGCTATCTCCACCCCTCTATGGCGGCGGGACGGGACTGGCCACTACCTCTGCAATGCCTGTGGGCTGTACCACAAAATGAACGGGATGAGCCGGCCGCTCATCAAGCCCCAGCGACGCCTGGTGAGTCCCTCCCTCGGCCTGTCTGTCTATCTGTCTGTCTGCGAACGCACCACGTCAGACACGCCCAAGCTCTATTGACACACATTAACATGTTATGCCTTTGTTTTAGGACAGTTGAAGCACCCCTTATGTCCCTTTCTCCATGAAGCGTCTAAAAAGCCCCAGCTTTTGTCTAAAATCCAAAATATCCTCTATATTGCCCTTCAAAGTTCTATAGCCCCCCCTAACTTTCTTCTGTACATGCAGTTTCTTTTACGTTGTGTCATTTTTTTATTTCACAGTTTTTCACCTTGGAAGTCAAGGTGTGTGGCTGAAGTGATGTTGTAAGCCAATGTACCTTCCTTTCTGGGAGCTCTCTCACAGAATAACAATTCATAACTTTCTTATTTTTCCTTTTGGGGAGCCTAGACATTTCATTTGCTTGATATACATTACTATCTGGTGTGACGCCATGCAGTAATAAAGTTCTTACATGATTTCTAGCGGTTGTGAGAGTATAAGGAGACTCAACGTTCCGGACTGGGTGCTCCGTCTGTCGTGAGACGGTACACTATCGGGAAACGTTTAGGTTTTTCTCAGCACCACTCAAACTGACGAACGAGTTTCGCTGAGTCACCGACTCAAAGTCAAGTGGACCTTAACACTAACGTCACCGTGGAAATGCCTGAAAGTTTGACCTACTCTGGACCTTCAAATGTTGTGTAAAACTAGGCCCCTGAGGCTGAACAATTCCAGACACGTCTTTGTTCAATATGTGCTATTAAAGTCTTTGGTCATCTGCATATTTTTTTTATATTTTCCCTGTATGAGGTAGCATTTCAACAGCTTGTTAAACTCAGTAAATCACCCAGCAATGTTACGAACTAGTCAGTTACACATATTTTTTTCTGTCAGTCACATATTTTCTTGTTTGTCTGTTTTTTCTTCTGTACTCATTGTCGACTTAAATCTGGAGTGAGCCCCTCCTCCTAACGCTATCAATATTGCCCTTCTGCCCTTTGAATTTCTTAAACCCGCCTTCCCCTGAAAAAAAATCATCGTCGTTTAACAGCTCGCCTTTAGCGCTATCGCTGAAGAGCGATCGTGGAACTATGCAGCAGCCAGTTTTCCATTACAGCTTGTTCCTTGTAGTTCTCTCTGCTCCGTACAGTTACGTCCGTTCCTGGCGCACGTTTCCTCGTCCGGAGCTTATCTCCAGGGCCCAGACAAACCCCAGCTCGATGGACAAACCTGACACCGAGGAAAGACGCTGTAATGCACGAATGCTGTGAGCGCGTGAGCGGCATGGATATGAAGCGGCAACGATAAAAACCGACATTCCATCCATCACCGTTTATGTGGTTGAGAAGGGGAGAGGACAAGAGAGAAATGTTACCGTTGACGTTGATGGATGAGAAATGTCCTATGTTACGAAGGACGCATGCGTCAAAGGTCCTTATCAAAGTGAAAATGAACTACCCGTGTGGACGTCCAGTCAGACCGTTTTCACTGGCACGATTTGAAGGGAGAATTGAACGTACGCCATAATCTACTCTTCCTTATGGAAACAAATTGCGACGAAGTGGGATTAGTCTGTCATTTAAGTTTCATACGATTTTTGAAATATTTTTCTTCATGTTTTACGGGCCACTTTTCTTTCAAACGTGCACGGGCCATTCGAAACTTTGGACGGCACGAATGGCTTGAGGGTTTACATGATATGCGAGCCTTTAAACCTGATCGAATCAAACTAATGCCTGAGTGATTTGAGACTTAAGCCGAGAGAACTGAGAGTGAGACATGATGTGTGTAACTTACACGGGCTTGGTGACGTAAGACCCAACCAAAGTTACTCAAAACCTGACCGGAGAGGCTTCGGCTCGGTGACTTGAGACTTTCGTGGGACTTAAGACTTGACCTTAGTGACTTGAGACTTATAACCTGTGGGAAGTTGAGACTTGGCCTTAGTGACTTGCCACTTTAAACAGAGAGGCACGACTGGACCACGGGGTCTTGACCCTCGGACCTCTGGCGAGAACTTTTTAAGACTTTTTCCTAGGTTGTCATTTCTGACTTACAATGATAATTCAATCAGTAAACGGAGTTAATTGACAGTAGACTCCTGTCGAGTCGCTTACAACTTTCCCTCAACCCTAAACCTGAGTGACGTTAGGTGACGTGCACTTAAGGATAGATGAGTTTTCCTTGAGATTTGGAACTAGATCAGGCCTTCACAAGACAATTATGAACTTTACATTATCACTGAAGACTCGAGGTTGTTTTTACTGGATAGTGTATTAAAACAACATCAGACGTGATGTCTTCCTTGCAAGGGTTTGGCTTCCACCATTATCCCTTTAAAACACATAAACACACCTATGTTTACATTACATGCCTAGTGTGGAAATTCCTGTGTTTTCAAGTGACAACCAATTTTTCTGGCACTGTGAACCCTCCATTTAAAGTCCGATTTTTAAAAAGCTTCCTTGACTTTTTCGCTTATAAATTATTCGTCTAAGGATAACCCTCGTCCCAAAAGCCCATAAAAGTGTTATTCAGAGAGGGAGAATTTAACCCTGAGAGGACCAGAATTCGTGGACTTGTTTGGTTTTAGGTCCACCATAGAGAAGTTTCCTTTCTGAGTAGGTCCACAGTAGGCCTTTTTTAAAATGAACGCTTAAGTGTCACTTGTGTGTACACCAACTTACAGGACGAGTTGGGCGATCTTTGCGACGAGAAGGGGCCAGAGTTGGGCATGGAAAGCCTGGAGCCGTCCATCCTGCGCTATAAGGACCGGCGCTGGAAACCGGTAAGGCCAAAACAAAATAACGCGCCAAATCTCAGTGCTCGTCCAAAAGAATTTGAAGACAGAAACTACATTGAGATGCGCTCATTCCAAACAACGTTATCTCCCATTGCTTTAATGTCAAAATATTAGTTTCCTGCTATATTTATTTTCAGAATTATTCTGTAGAGAATTACACACATTGGTTGCATGGATTAGTCTTAATCATGCATGCATTTTTATTTTTTTATATACTAATCCTCTAAACTTTGATCTCCTGTAACTTCCTGGGGTCAAGCAATTAGAGCGCTGAGATGAATTTCTATTTTGTTTTTGGCCGAATTGGTTTTCAGCGGTCGGATGTAGGCCTAGTTCCACGCATACGATGACGTTACTGATATTTGCTCGGTTGCTCTGGCAACTGTTTTCAACAAAAAAAACCACATTTTCGTGCATACAGTTTGATTTTCGTTTGATATAAAATGTTACCTCCCAAAATGTGGACACGTTTTAGTGTTTCATCCCCTTTTCTCGGTCGTAAAAGTTACTTAATGCAGTACTTTTCCTTAAATTATTCTCTGCCAACATAATTGTTTTTGTTTTTTAAATTGAAATCACATTAATTATTGATCTCATCTTCCTTTCTTAGTTATGGGATAAGAATTGTCACCGGGCAAAATTTACTGTTGTGTTTTTAAATTAACATTTCGTCTCTCTCGGGGCTGTCAAAGTTGACACATTTGTCTGGATAAGCGCTTTCCAGTAATATAAAAATTTGAGCCAACAGAACTATTTTTTGGTTTCGCTTTTCAACATGAAAAGATCCCCATTTGACTTGAGTATTCCGTTTTATGCTTCCGCCCACAGCAATCCGGTTCGCGTCGCGAAGGGATCGTCTGTGCCAACTGCCACACCAACACTACAACCCTTTGGCGGAGGAATAAAGACGGTGAACCGGTCTGCAACGCATGCGGTCTGTACTACAAACTGCACGGCGTAAGTTTATCATTTCAGGTTTTGCTGTCCAGCTGAAACAGACCATGTGAACCATATTTGTTATTTTGAAATGGAAACCGGTGTATGTTCATATTTAGCTTGCCCATAAAGCAGAAGGCGAAGTTTACTCTCAGCGAAAAAAAAAAACCTGAAGGAATGAGAGTACAAATGTAGCTTGTATGGTGAACAAAGTCCAATGCCCACGAATCGTGTTACCAAATTTTTCCGATTATTTTCACTTCCTTTTCAGGACACTTGATCTCATTTTCAGATAGATCTCCATTATCTGTCCTTACACTGTACATGACTTGCTTCAGATTGATATCTGTGATTATTGTTGCGGCCAGGAATGATTACAGATACATTGACCAAAGAAATGTTATAGTGTGGTGTAGTGTGACTTTATGTATTTTTTTTCTGTACATTACCAATTCGAAAGCAAATAGCATTGTTCAACGTATCGCGTGCAAGTACGACAATGCGTTCATGTTGCAATTTACTAATGGTAATTAAACGTGGATATGATTCTCTGGAAAACAATTTGAGTTATGATCAGGGATAGTTGCGTCGTGTTCAGAAGAAAAAGTACCGTTGTGTTTGACGATCCCCGGCCTCCATCTGTTGAAATTGGAAGAAAAACAAAATGAATTTTAGGGATAAACCGCTGTTTATTTGGGAACAAGCACTGTGTACTTGGAACACTCAGTCCGCCAACGATTGAGCTGTCTGTCACTAAATCGAGGTGTCTACTGGGACACGAACCAGGATTACCTTCAATAAACAGCGGTCGACCCTGTGTGACCTCTGGGCCTGACCCCGACCCACCGATGAGGGCGATCTTTGCTCCCAGAGGCCACGACGCCATCAATCAACGCCCGTTAACTCGCTCCCGAAGCCTTCGCGGCCAGCGCATGCACTACGTCTCAGCCAGTGATGTATATTTTACGGTGGACAAATTGAACACCGTCGAGCACTTACAGCAATTCATTTCCAAGATGTGGTTTATATTCCAGCTTCCCCCTTTGAGTCCACATTTTAGCTCTGCGGCGTAACTTCAAGTGTTTTGCTGCGGTCACACCATTACACAAATTGACCAATAACCACTTAAATGTTGTGTAAAAAGCTGTCTTAAATCACCGCGGTTAGCTGGCCCGTAAATCCATCAAACTTTCGTCTTCAAGCGCTCCGCGATGTTGTTGTTTTCGAGGAACACGCGACCATGGTATTCCATGTTCTTCCCAAGTCACAAGTGAATGTGTTGTATAAATAAATAAACGTGATGAGGCGCGTTGCTTTTACAAGTGGTGAGTCTATATATATTTCATGTCACTGTTAAATAAATATTTCTGTAGTGGCTGCAATCAGCGCGCAAGTTTTTATGTCGAGTTCCTCTGAGCGTTTTGGGTGGCACAGCTTATCAAATTTGTTCCAAAGTTTCGGGTGAGATTTCGAGCAAACAGTTTACTCTGAGATTGGCCCGCATGGAGTCGTAGTGGCGTAATGGGGGTCAGCTATAAGCTTGTAATACAAGCACAAATGAGGGAAACCAATGTTTGGCTGTTAAAAAAGTATACAATCTCCTAATAAAGTCATCAATAACGATTGTCATTTCCACTATCGGTTTGTGCTCAAGATTCAGTAGGCCTATATAATACACTCAGTTGAAGTTGATTCAATCAAAAGTCCTTTCGCAAGACCAGTCATGAAATAAATAGCGGGATGAACAATGACAAAGGAATGCTTTGAATTTGTCACGGTTTATTTTGAACGATTTGTGACTTGCCGGAAGCCCGGATGACTTGTAATGGACTTGCAGGCACTCATGATGGACCCCCATCTGTAACCACTGTCGAAGCTCAGTTTCGGAACGTCCATAATGCATTAAACATCAGTCATGCACACACGAATACATGTATACACTTACTTGTAGGCCTACATGGTTTAGAGCCGAGTTGGTGTGGTGTACGCATGATTGAATACAATCGAAAACCAAATAAGGTAATACTACGTTAACCACTGCATTCTGCCTTGTGATAGTCGGTCGGATCACAGACTGGAGATATTTTGCTGCCCCGTTTAGAGTTGGATCGCAAAAGTTATCTTGTCGACTGTGGATCTCTCATCATCCTCACTGGCCAAATTGCTTGATGAGTGGCTCTCATTATTGTTAATATGATGACGTCATTTTACTGTCATAGTTTAACAGTTGAAATTGGCCATAGCATCTTCAAACTCTAAAAATTGTCCGTTTTTTATCAACCCTATAGCCACTTCTGGTCTGTGTCAGTGTGAATGGATTTCTTGCTGGGGGGGCGTAGTGATGTCCACTCTTTTCACACGAGGCCTTTGCATTTTTTTTAGGGCTCACTCGTTTTCAGAAATTTGACGAAGACCATCCTCTGTGCCGCCCGGCCGGATCAAGCAGGCGCCCTTCCCGCCCGGCGCGCGCGGGGGGAAGATCCGCCGAGCTCTGGTTGTTTGACTGTCCGGGGATCAACGGGATTTAACTGCTAGAGGCTTTCCAGGCCCGGCCCCACACAGTCTTGCCCGCAGGAAACATGTTTCAAAATTACCTATCATGCAGGACATCGAAAAGAGAGTATATACAGTACTTTATGAACCCAGTCTTGCCTGTGGGTTTTAGCTGAGTGTTCTGATTTTTACCCGTTGTATGTAGACTGCCTTTCTGAATATCCATGTAGCATAGAGACTTGTTTTTCTTCGAGGTGTCGAGCAGAATATGCATGTCAGCAATGATACGTGCTAAGGAAAAACTGGCTGGTAGCCAGTCATAGACAACACTGCATTGGGGGCAGCTGTTATCAAGGTCAGCTGAAAGTTGGATTTAGGGGCTCGTGTAGATGGTCAAATCGTCACTTAAGACGCAGAATTACCGGTGGGTTTTGTGCCAGAGACATTGCTTCCTGTTAATGCATTCTAAACGGTACTTTCTTTTGTTGAGACGATCGGAGTACTGAACGGTGAGAGTGTATTGGCAATGTACTAATTTGGATTTTGTCATAGGCCCTACATGGTAGACTGTGGCGTATCCCGGGGGGAGGGGTGAGCAGGGAGGAAACTTGCCCATTTTTTTCACTTTTTTATTTTTATATATTAAACATTTATTCAATATTTATTTATCAAATATTAGCAGCAAAACCCTATGAAAACAACACCACGAAAAAAACACCATCATTTGAATAAACCCGAAGCCGCATTCGCTTTTGGATCCCCTTCGCATACACACACACACCATATGCTGGATACGCCGCTGACGGTAGACTTTGAATGGTGGAAAATGGAAAGAACTTTGGAACAGTGCCCGGAAATTCCAACTGTTATGTTCCGTCTTCCACCGCAATGTCGCTAAATTTTCAAGCTTGGATATTAGGACATCTAAATGGAGTTAACACGATTAGCATGCAAATTAAAAGCAGGGTCTGGCCGTGAACGAATATCCCAATGATCAGTGGCTTATGCAGGCCCTCTGACGCAGTGGCAAATCTAAACGGCGGAGCGTGAAGGCACACCCTTCTTTACTCCGCTCAGAATGGAGGAGACAAAAAAATTCTGTATCGTTTGAAACTGATACGAAGCCCCGCTAATTGCCTTTCAAGAAAAAGAGTCCTGCCCCCAAAATGCTCTCCCTCAAATTTAACGCTGGTTGCGCCTCTGAGTGTAACGGTGACTTTCGCTCACGTTTTTAGTTCTAGCTGCATCTTCTGAAAGTCCACCAACCTAAATTACTTTCGTTTTCTTATAATCAAAACACAGGTAAACCGCCCTCTGGCGATGAAGAAGGACGGCATCCAGACGCGCAAGCGCAAACCCAAGGGCTCATCCAAGCAACAGCAGCAGCAGGTGAACGGCCAGCAGCAGTCGGCGACGCCCAAATCGCCCAAGGACCCGCACAACGCGCAAATCGGCACGGCGCTGCCACCAACGTCTATGCACAGCCCATCAATTAAGGTAAACAGCAACTAACAAGCCCAATTCCCACATACCTCGGTCAGACATTAATTTATCTGTAGCAGTCAAGTGCATCACAGGTCCATCCATATCAGCGAGAAAACATCTAGTCACATTTCAAAAGCCATGAAGTAAACAACCATAACAGCATTCTTTTGCTGCTGTTCATCACTTTTGACCTATGACCTGACTTACGATCGGACTCGTCAAAAACACTGTCAGAAATCCAGAGTTTTTGTGGAAGCGCGTTACAACGTATGATTTAATTCGGTTTAAATTATCCATTACCACCATTTATGTCTACTTGTCTACAACAAAATAAAAGATATATTTTAAACTTTGAAGGTTGTAAGGGTGGAAAACAGATAAAGCATGCTGTGTCTTGACTCCTGTAATCTTGGTTAGGTTCTGGACAATTTTCTTCTTTACTACAGACAGCCATCAGAATTTTTATGCAACACATTCTATTTTGTGTATTCCTTTTATGGCACACAGATGGAGCCCCATTTCAACTATGGCATGCATCCCTCCTTGCCCGGTCACATGTCCCTCTCGGGGCTGGCCAACTCGCCCCGTCTCCAGACTTCCCATACCCCGCACCACCTCGACCCGGCCGGCACACCGGTCAGCGGCAACAATGGCAGCGGCGGCCACGCGGGCCGATTGCTGTCCAACGGGAGCTCGGCCGGCCACAGCCCGCTGAACCTGGTCAGCCCCGGCGGCGCTGGTGGCTCGGAGCACGCGGCCAGCATTCAGACTACTACCAATGTGGTAGCTCAGGCGGCGGCCCACACGCTTTTCGCTCCCGGCGTGAACCCGTCGCCTCCCACTGCGGTGGCGGTGTCGTTAGACAGCGGTAGCATCACCTCGGCTGTGTCCTCAGAGTAGCAAATAAAAGGGAAAAAACAACAACAACAACAACAACAACAACAACGAATCGACGACCTTTTAAAAACGGCTGCCTTTGTTTTCTTGATTTAGCTTTGCAGCAGGAATTCCTTCTTATGATCTTGCGATTGTGTGATCACAAATTGCCAACGACAGTCGCTCCCAAATTAATTGCATCTCAACAGTTTAATAAAGCGAAAGTCGTATACCTCAGTCGGTTTTCAGTAGTTCTGAAAGTATAAACCAGTCGAAAATAACTTTAAAACACGAACAAAAGTCAGTTCTTAAATTTATGGTCTTTGTTTCCCACCCAGTCCATGTACATTTATCTAAGCTGCACATTTAATGCCAAAAATACACCAATGTACCACTTACTATCATATTTAAATAAAGTTGATATACGTGTACCTGTATATGTATTTTTCTTGATGCATCTTTGAAGGACTGTTGGGACAGTTTTGTGGAAATGATAATGTTGTTCTAAGTGGGAATGTTTTTAACAGAAGTTGGCAGCTGAATGGAGGAGATTCGATGATTATTTTAGGTCAAAAAAGTTATATAAATAATATATAATGAAAGTAATCGTAGTAAGTACTAATTTAACACCCTCCTGCAAAGCCAAGTGCCTTGAGTATGGTCGAGTGATGGCGCCCTACCATACAGCTGGATAGGCAAAAAGTTTTTGCCATTGTACAGTTTGCGCAGCAGAACACTACCAAAGAACAAGTACTGTAAAGAATAAATGATTGCTTAGTCTTGAAAGAGTCGAGGGATTAATTAACAGACCAAAGACCAAAGAGGCCGCAAAGCATGTGGTTGTAAATATTCGTTGTACATCGTTAATCCTGTTTTCTTATCTCTCTTTTTACACATCTCGGCATGATGACACGTGATGTCGGTCCTTGTGGAACGAAGAACAATATAACTGGTGAAATGTTCAGAATTTTTCATTTTTAACTTTTCTCTGTTCACCTTTTTACCGTTTATCTTAACCTTCCTGTTTTTAATCACTGCCGACTTACACAGTTATAAAAATCAATGAGAATATTACAAGTCGTTATCTTAACTCTTTTTTTCCCGTAAACTTTAATTCCGTCGGCACTATCGGAGAAGCAACATTTCCCTCTGTAAACAGTTTATCTGTATAACGTAGGCCTATACAGTTGGCTTAAAACAATAGCAATATAAATTTTATTGTAAAATAAAGATAAATGATGCCTTCGTTTTAACTATTATTTTTCTCATTTAACTTTGAATGTACAGGGCAGGCAATCGGTTTTGTAGTTTAAACTTCATTGAAAAAGAACCGTTTTTGCTTGGACCCTTTTTTCTTGCAAGTGACGAATGTACGCTTTTACATATAACTTTAACGCACTCATAAATAGAACATTTTGAATTGCCTTTTTGCCATTGAAAACTTTCTAATCAGTACAGCTCACTGCATCGTAATTGGTTTTTTTTGTTCTTTAATTGTGCCGTAGAAAATGTAATCACTCTTGCCGAATTACTACTAGATCAGAAGAGCAGTCAACACTGACTCTTGTTCTTGCGAGTTTTCGACTGTGCAATTTTAAATTATGGATCCACGGTATGTTTAATGTAACAATTTTTGTTTCATTGTGGGCAGTGGACGTTGATTGATTTGTCCAGCTTGTGTTCTGACATTTACCAATCGGAAGCTAACGTTGCGAGGGCCGATGGCTGTTTGGTTTGGGGGTTTTTTTGGCCCAGTAAATAGATCAAAGGAAATCGCCTAAAGGCTGTTTGTTGGATATTTATTACCCAACTGAGATGAATCTGTTATTACGTGGGCAAACTCATTTTACTCAGCAGTAGTAGATCATGTTAATTATTCAATCCTTTTTTTTAGCTATTGCCATGATCGTTTTGCCCAACAGTTAAGCGATTCACCTGCTACCAAGGTTGACCCCAAAGCGTGTTTACAGTACGTATTTTGAGTACACGCATTAATTTCACGCACTCCCCATTACAACCCCAATTCTGCTTTGCTTTATATTATTTTGTATATAAAAACACTTAAACAAGCATACGCTTAGTGCTAGCGTTTGATAAACCTCCTCACCTTTGAACACGTAATGGGAAAATGCTGTACTTTATTGGTCCGGGACAACGATTGGCATTATTTGCAACACCAAGCAGGGGATCTCTTCGGGTCGCATGGGTGTCATTTTACAATTGTGTGAGGCTTTTAATTGGATGACCAAATCACTTTCGAATACGTCTTTTGTTGAGCGTTTTGTTCGAAGTGAAATTTCGGTAATTTTTGCTTTGTGGTAATGATGCATATTAAACGAAGGTTCACAAATTAATTACTTATTGATATTTGTTAAAAGTAAGTTACGCTCCACTATCATGTACTTGTGTAAAAGAAAACCGCAAAAACTCTGTGCCTGACTATACCTAATTTTGTTTTCCCTGTACAGAAAGATAAATCAGTAAATAACTCAAGCAGAACAATTCCACTGATGAACCTGTACATAGTTGATGCCAGTATGTATCTGCTCCAAGTCTAGATAGGGCCTATGCAATTTCAATTTGTAGCGGAGATCACTTTAAAATATGTCACACGGGATCAAACATCAAAAACTTCATTTGAAAACATGCTAATGGATACCTGGGCTTCAGCTGATTCGGCCAATGCATATTTGGCATGTAGAAAGTATAAATATGAATTGTAGGTGTAATGTATTTGATTTTTGTCGGTCGGGAGTACCTTGCGTCACAAAGCGGTACTCAAACCGACGTCTCTGATGCGGTGCTCTTTATTACGTTCTCGAAATTCGGTACAATCCATCGTTACGGTATTTAATCATTTTCACCAATAAAGTATTGACAACAATAAATATATGATGAATAATTCATTTACAGAGAGTGATTGTGTGTGGTTATTGTTGGCGTGAACGTTAGTTAACTATTCGGTTCGTAAGAGTGAGGTCACTTCAGTTTAATCCACGCCCATTGCACATGCACTGCACATAGAGTTGCATGCATTGATCGCCAATTACATGGAACCATGGAACTGGAAGTTAACGCGCAACTTCAGCGATCGTCCAATGGGAGCCTGCAAATCGTGGCGAGTCCACCTTTGTGACGAAGTCACTTGCGAACCGGATAGTGTTTGGCAAATCTCTTTATCCTGAAAGACTTGTTTCAGTTCAATGTGCTGTTGGTGAACGTTTGTCTTGGGTTTTTCAGATTTGGTGGTGTATCATTCTGATTGGCTATGCTTGCTTTTTGACATAAGATCTACCAAGATTGTTGGAAAAGCCCTCTTCACTGGCGTTTAAAACAATACATTTTAGTGAGGGTGTAACTGGCACCAATTGACTTGGTCGCAGTGGACGCCCACGTCTAGAATAAATTTCATCTAACCGCTGTGTTTTGACATAACGAGCATTCCAGAATGAGCACGGTGTCTCTCCAAACGCTGCACGAAAAAAGTTTAGATAAAGTGACGCGCACAGTCTGGTTGATAGACTTGCGACGTTGCACGGGGGACGCATTTCTCATGGGGGACAAATTACCGTTGGACAAATGGACAAATTTACCTGGACGGGAACAGATTTACCTGTAGGTAAATGTGTCCCTCTTGCCATCCTGTAACAGTGTCGGGGGGGGTACAAAGTTACCAGGGGGACAAAGTTTACTGCCAGGGGGATAGTTGTACCACTTACACCGGCGAGAGAAGTCATAGCTCCAAACCACCGGTTTCCTTGCTAATTCGAGTTCCTAAATTTGAATTTTTATCAAGTCAAGTTTGAAACTAAGCGCTAAAAATAAAAACCTGGCCCTTGGCAGGGGTTGGAACCAAAGATATTTGACCTCCGACCTTCAAGATCCAGCGCCTGTCCCAACATTTTTGAGTTTGAATTGGGGAAGGGGCAATCTTCTAATTTCTTCATGTTTAGAATTTCCGAACTTTTGATATAGGTAGGTTTGATACTGAAAAAAATGATGGCGCTGTTCAGGGTCAGACTTGTTTGTTCATAGGTGTTTTGTACCGTAAAATTTTAAAGTTCAGGGTGTCGGGCGCTCCTTTCTTCGTAGTTACTCGGCTGTCCCTTTTAACAATCACTTCATTTGTTTGTTCGTTATTTTGTGGTTTCTTACCAACACTTCACCAGCGTCTTGCAACCTAGAAGCTTTTCAGGGGAAGATAGTAACTTCATCTTCAGGAAAGTGAACTGGATATGAGTTATTCATAAATATGTCCATGCTTTGTATCATCTGACGCCTGGCATGAAAAACAAATTTGTGACTCATACTGGTTATCGTGGCTCAACAATCGGTCGACGGTATACATGAAATCAACAAGTTTCATCACGAAACAAGTGGAACATTATGAAATTCCCGAATGGGTGTAAAGCAAGCCAATTGGTTCCAAAATCCTAATTACCATCTGTCAGCAGGAGAAACCCTTTTCAGCCTCAGTGCACTTTTTCAACAAAGGAGTATAACTGTAACTTCAACTCAGTTTGAAAGAACGAGTCTCGAACCGCCCTCAATGTTTACAATTAACTCTTGCAATTGGTTATTTATTGTTAACGTGCCATAGGCCTACGACATACACGTGCGATAAAGAGATAAGTAAATTTGCAATAAGCCTTTTGCTAGTGAAATTTGATAATAAAATCTGGTACACTGAGTTATCTGATTGCACATAAACATAACGATTTGAATTCCCCAGACTTAAAATACACTGTGGCTTTACATACTAGGTATTGCTATACATAACCCGTGACTGGGGGCAAGGTTTTGCATGTCGACCACCATCTCTAAATTGGACTACATAGTTCCTTTGTGCCCTTCTTATCCACTGAAAACAGTGTATTGGTGCAAGGCGTCTCTAAAGTAACCAAGCAAAAGCTTGCCCCGGATCAAATTTAACTCGCAAATGGCTTGTAATAATTATACTTTCAACTTCAAAGGCACACGCAAAATATCGTTCATGTCAATGCACACTAGCTTGTGGTCAATCACGTTTGTTTTCTTGTTGTCATATCCAGGGCATTTTGGTGCCTGTGCTGATTTTATGCCAATGGACATTTCCATATTCATGAGCAAAGATATGGTGTCATTTCAGGAAGACACCTCGATGAAACAGCTATTTCATGGTTCAGTATTGCCTGGGTCATCGGATAGTTTGATGCCGTAAATTTTCTTGTCATTGGTAATTCGTTCTTTTTTCAACACATGACCGTATAGGCAAGTTTTCTGACAAATATTTTCAATGAGCGCAGTTTGATTTCAAATTTTTAACAGACCCCCTCCAAATAAACTGTATTCCTAAACTGACGTTAATGGTCATATTTGTCTCAAAAGGCATGGAAGTTTTAAAATGATTAAAAAGGTTTGCTTTCATAGAAGACATTTATTTTTTCAATAAAAAACCAAAATACACAGTCCAGAAATAAAAATTCATGTTACGGGCTCTTTCCAAATAGACAGTGGATATTTATCATTACCCAGCTAATTGAACTGAATGGTATTCATTTTTCTATCCAAAAATTAAGAATATCGTATTTTATTATTTTTGACTCATTCTTTTTTATTACAGAGTACCACATTTTCCTTTTCTGATTCGGGACTCTGGGGATTTTTAAGGGAATCGAGTCCAAAATTGTGAAATGATCTGAAATGATCTGAAAAAGAAGTCACAACGAACAGAACCAGACTAAGATTTGTCACCGGTAAGAATTTTTAAGTAAAAAAAGAGAAAAACGTTTCAGTTATTCATCAAATTTGACTGCGATGGCTGAATGCCTTAACATTAATGACAAAGTTTGGTTAAAATAACATACTGCAAAGACATTGTGGAGAGACTCATAACATCACTCATTTAAAGTGTGCTTATTAATCTTTGTGCAAAATTGAACGTGCTAAAATTCTTTTGCTAAACTAAAGTGTGCTAAATCTCTGAAATAGGTGCATAATTAGGGAAATAGGTTAAGACCTTTGTTCATGGATTCATCTTGGATGGGTCGAGGAAGCAAAGAATCTTTCTCTAGGCGAGAAATCACCGAGTCCAATCTGGGTAAAGCAAAAACCCGGTGAACGAGGTGAAACTGACCCTGTTGCCGTGGACCTCATCCTTAATTCCAAATAAACTTCATTGCTTTTCACCAACTTCATTACCGCGCTGCTGCTGGGTTAATGGTGTCTGCAAGTGCCATCATAAGCCTTCACAGCCTTTTCTTTGGTCTTGTGCAAGGTCACGTAAAGATCGTTTGACTGGGGCGTTTTCAAGGCAGAAAACGAAAATACATAGATACCTTCCACTTTGCACCTAAAATTCCTTTGGATGAGCCCAAATCTGCCCCTGCCACAAAAACGTTTTATCATAGGGTAGAGGACCACCATTGGAACGGTATCTGGTAGCCCTCCCCACGGTAAAGGCCCCTTTAACACAGTTTTCTCCCATCGGACCAGCGAGTTCTAGGACGCCCTCTTCGTCTTTCTCCCCTGGGCTACTGACAGCCAGCACGCTTGCGTTGGTTATCGACCACACCACGACCATCACCAAAAGCTTTTTCAACTCCATCTATTAGTCAGGAAGGAAAGGAAAAATATTAATGACAAAAACGGCTAGACAGAATAGGGCTTTTTCCGCTTTTAATATAAGGTTCCCTGAGGGATTTCCACAAAAATGAATAGCTTTCCTATACTTCTACGGTTCTCATATCTTTTTGGCCTCAAAACAGGTCGGCTGGTTAAATAAAAATCGTGGGTTAAAAATCATACGATTGTTAAGCTAAAAACAATTATGCGAAGTCTTATTAAACAATCTTATTCTGTTATTTCCAAGATGGTTTTTAGATGTTAAACATGTAAATAAAACTATAATTTTGCAACTGTGACATAAATGAACAAATTTGCAACTGGCATATTCGCCTCGAGAGGAAGTACCCCGTCACTGGTAAAAAAGACGTATTAGCCGTGAGCGTTTACTTCCTCAATAGCGAAGTGGTAATAAAGCGTGCATTTCCTAGTCGTTCGTGAACCAGCGAAGTTCATTCCGACCAAGGGAGCCGTTGTTGCTAAAAGAATTGCGCCCTCTCCTGGTCCAGCTCGAGGCTCGTACAGTCAAATTGGCCGAGTTCGTGCGGCTTGTTCTCGTATGTTCATGAACAGCTCGATTTGTTGTTCGTGGGTCGGCCGCTCGAACGCCGGAAACAAACAACCGGTTATCGCTGGTATTTAGTGACAAGCAACATGCAACATGGCGGCGTCCATGTAGGCTAAGTAATTCGAGAGTCAATGAAGTAGCCCAAAACACGACGTATGCATATTCCAACGAGTAAACGTTTTGGGGCGTACATCCTGGGGGTGGGGTATATATTCCCCTCAACTTTTTGAGATGGGGGTGGGTGGGCTGTTGAATCTTTCCCTGCACTCTTTTTGCGGAGAGCGAAAATTTAAAGCAGATTGTTTCATTAAATACATTAATTCTAACAAGTTCTAACTGTACTCCTGTTGCATCATACGATAATATATTAGCATCACAGTTAGAGTATGGTTATTTTGCTGCTCACAAGTATATCAGGAGCGGCGGGTAGTCGGATCGGGTGCGAACGCATACGGCGGAAGAACTTGACCCTGACGGGTGGTGAACTCGTCCCATCGGTTCGTCTGCGGGATGAAATTCAGTCCACGCTCGAGGACAGAGCGTTGGCCATCAGTAAGGGGGAGATCTCGCTGGATGGTAACAACCAAACTCTTTTGGTTAGCGTGTTCGTTGATATGGGCGCACAATGAGATTTGTCTGATTTGAGCTTGGGGTAGTTAGATTTGATTTTCTTGCTTTTGGTTGCTTCGCGATCCGCACGAAGTTCGTGATTTAGGTCGTGAATTATGCCCCTGA